GTACAAGAGGAAGCAACTAAAACCATCCCAAAGAAAAAGAAATGCAAGAAAGCAAAATGTCTGTCTGAGGAAGATTTACAAATAGCTGAGGAAAGAAGGGAAGCAAAAGGCAAGGGAGAAAGAGAAAGATACACCCAATTGAATGCAGAATTCCAGAGAACGGCTAGGAGAGATGAAAATGTCTTCTTAAATGAACAGTATAAAAAATAGAAGAAAACAATAGAATGGGGAGGACAAGCGATCTCTTCAAGAAAATTGGAAATATGAAGGGAACCTTTCATGCAAAGATGGGCATGATAAAGGACAAAAATGGCAGGGACCTAACAGGGGCAGAAGAGATTAAGAAGAGGTGGCAAGCTTACACAGAGGAACTATATAAGAAAGAGCTTAATGTCCCTGATAACCACGATGGGGTGGTCACTGACCTGGAGCCAGACATCCTGGAATGTGAAGTCAAATGGGCTTTAGGAAGTCTGAGCAACAACAAAGCTAGTGGAGGCAACATTATACCAGCTGAGCTATTCAAAATCCTAAAAGACGATGCAGTCAAAGCGCTACACTCAATATGCCAGCAAATTTGGAAAACTCAGCAGTGGCCACAGGACTGGAAAAGATCAGTTTACATTCTAATCCCAAAGAAGGGCAATACGAAAGAATGTTTGAACTACCGCACCATTGCACTCATTTCACACACTAGCAAAGTTATGCCCAAAGTCCTACAAGCTAGGCTCCAGCAGTATGTATGTGGATCAAGAACTACCAGAAGTACAGGCAGGGTTTCAAAGAGGCAGAGGAACCAGAGATCAAATTGTCAAAATACATTTGATCACGGAGAAAGCTAGGGAGTTCCAGAAAAACATCTGCTTCTGCTTCATTGACTACGCTAAAGACTTTGATTGTGTGGATCACAACAAATTGTGGCAAATTGTGATGGGAGTCCCAGACCATCTTATTTATCTCTTGAGAAACCTTTATGCGGGTCAAGAAACAACAGTGAGCACTGGACACGGAACCACCGATTGGTTCAAATTTGAGAAAGGAGTTTGGCAAGGCTGTATACTGTCACCCTGTCTATTTAACATATATGCAGAGCACATCATGAGAAAGGTGGGACTAGATGAATCACTGGATAAATGGCTTGAAACTCAACATTAAGAAAACTAAGATCATGGCATCCAGTCCTCTCACTTCCTGGCAAATAGATGGGGAAGAAACGGAGGTAGTGACAGATTTCATTTTCCTGGGCTCCAAGATCAGCACAGACGGAGATCATAAAAAGTGCTTCCCAAAGAAGTAAAAAGGGGATAGGGAGTCACAGCTGGTAGAAAGGTAATGCTGTTGATTTACAACAGGAAGAGGAGAAAGGAAAAGGCAGCTTTAGCTGCCTTTAGCTACCAAATCGATTGGGATACCAGTTGGTGGACGAAAGGGGGAGAAAGAGGAACATGACCCATGGTGAGCCTGATCATCTGTGGGTTATTCTGTGAACAACCACACCACTGTTGGTATTTGCAGAGCAACTTATCATGCTGTGCAAATACATCCGTTGACATGAGTTGCCCTGCCTAATCCTCAGAAAAGAATTTCACGAATCAGTGAATTTAAAAGAAACGCCTTGGCATTATAATTCCACACTCCCAAAAAGATACTGAATACAAAAGATACTGAAATCAGCAATGGATTAATGAGATATTCCTGCAACCCAATTACAAACAATGCATGGCATTATAGATCTGATTGAATTGATGAAGACTGCTTCCTAGGAGAAGTAGATAAACTTATTTACTCCTGATAAACTTATTTACTCCTGATATAATTCACAAGCAGGTTCCATTTAATTATGGTTGTTACTCCATATATAATTGCCTGACTTTAAGTTTATTAATTTGTAAGGCAAAGGTAAAGGTTTCCTCTTGACATTAAGTCCAGTCATGTCTGACTCTAGGGAGCGGTGCTCATCTGCATTTCCTAGCCGAGGGATCCAGCGTTTGTCTGCAGACAATTTCTGTGGTCATGTGGCCAGCACGACTAAACACCGAAGTGCACGGAATGCTGTTACCTTCCCACCGAAGTAGTACATTTTTATCTACTTGCATTTGCATGCTTTTGAACTGCAAGCCTGGCAGGAGCTGGGATGGAGCAACGGAAACGCCTCGTTGTGCAGATTCGAACCAGCGACCTTTTGATCAACCAGCCCAGCAGCACAGCAGTTTAAACCACTGCGCCGCCTGCATCCCTTATTAATTTGTACATTTGCATAAATTTCCATGTGCACAAAACAATTCCAGATACAGTACCATACATTTAATACTGAGTGAGCATGCTTGGAGGACAGCCTGAGCCATATAATGAAATTATCCTGTAAAAACTTTCCAACATCTGATATGCAATAGCTTAATGTCTCTAGATATGGAAGTTCTACTGGTTGTTCTCATAATTCTGAAATGACATAACAACTTGCTGCATGACAGCAAAGACTCTTCAGGTACAATATCCTAGCCATGGCAAGTCAGATTGCCACTTTCAAGAAGCTTGACATGAACTATAGGACCCCAAGCATTTAATAGTCACTGGTGATGTTTGTCTTCTACTGTTCTATTTCATCCACTACCTTATTCCACCCGCTGCCCCATGTTCTCCTCTCTGTCACCTTATTTGGATTTTCCTTCCCTTCACTTGGTGTGACACACCAGAACATTGCTGGTCCTTCTCTAACTCCCTCTAAACTTCCTGCTTCTGCCTGGACATGCAGAATGCAAGACAGACAGATATGCACACATTCACACATCTCCCTCTGCATATTGTGAAATGCTCAGGCAGGCAGAGGGGGCCAGGGAATGCTTGAGAGACACCCTCTGCTAGCAGTGGCACAACTACTGACAAAGTGGCTTGCTACAGAAGTGCTGGCAACCCTGCACACCTGTCTCAACCCCCACAGGATGGCTCAGACGGCTGCCTGTGAGGTCCTCCTTGCCATGTCTGACTTCATATTCTTTTTACACAAACCTAAGTATGTTTCCTGTGCCTTTTTTGTCGTTAACAAAAAGGAAGAGAAGGTATCGCCATCATCGCTGCTTTCCTCAAACCTTCTCCATATAGGGACCCAGCTGGTGATCAAAGCTGTCAAATCACCGTTACTGCTTCAGAGAGCTTCAGCCATTGGGAGGTACAGAAATTACACACACACACACACACACACACACACACTCTGCCCTTGAAGATGGGTAGGAGGGCACACCTGCACTCCCCCAAGCTCCTGAACTACAAAATGTGCTCCCTGAATGAAACTAAAGTGCGTGTGTAGAGGAGCGATGATCTGCTGAGAAGAGGCTGTAAATTTCAAGAAGCACCCTCCTCTTAGCAAAAGATTCCTCACATCCTTGATTTCTCTTGTCAGCGCACCCTTTGCAAACTTTCAGAAGGCACCAAGGTGGACAAACTGATCTGAAACCTCAGCTGCGATCATGGGAGTGCCTGCTGCCAAGGGAGAACCCACCTGGATACTGCCCTAGCCAAGGCTTCAAATCCTTGCAGTTATGCTAGCTTGGAAGTTTGCAGTTGCACAACGGTGCTAACATTAAATTAAAGGAAAAATAATATTTTGGGGGTATTGTGCACAATTTTGTGTGCATTTTTAAATGCTGGGCAGCCCCTGTAAGGTGCTGTTGGGGCACTTCGAAGAAACTGGTCATAGATAGCAAAACAGGAACTGCAAAAACCATGGCAAGCTTGCAATGGCCAGTGTCAGCTGCCCCACTCCCCTGCTTGGGCGCTTGGGAGGCAGCTGCCACTAGTGCTCACATAATAGCCAGTGTGGCAAGACACATGCAGCAGGGACTTTCGCTGCTTTTACTGAGAGCTCACTAGCTGATTCCCCGAACCCACAATGAGGCAGATTGTCCTGGTTTTGATAACACAACAACCCATTCTGGGTGCAATAATTAGTAGATAGTCCATAGGTTGTTAGGATGATTTGTTGCCTATGAGCAAGTCACCTGGGAAAATTGGAAGGGGTAGAATAGTAGAGTTGGAAGGGACCAGAAGGCCCTGCTATTGCGGGACACTAAATCACACCATCCCATTCAGGTGATTGTCCAGATGCTTTTTGAATGCTTTTAACTTAAGTAGAAGGATCTGGACAGACTATGGAAGTGGGCAGGGAACAACAGGATGGCGTTCAATGCAGATAAGTGCAAGGTCTTGCACTTGGGGCATAGGAATGGGTGTCACAAGTACAGGTCAGGGGACAAGTGGCAGGGGAGCAGCACTTGTGAAAAGGATCTTGGGGTGCTGGTCGACTGCAGGCTAAACATGAGTCAGCAGTGTGATGCGGTGGTCAAGAGGGCGAACGCCACCCTTGGTTGCATGGCCAGAAGTGTGGCTTCTAGATCGAGAGAGGTATTACTGTCACTCTCTATGACTCTGGTGCATCAGCAACTGAAGTATAATGTTCAATTCTAGGACCCTCATTACAAAAGGGTTATAGCAAGGTTGGAATCAGTGCAGTGTAGGGCCACAAGGATGGTAGCTGGATTGCAGGAGAAGCCATATGAGGAGAGACTGAGGAAACTGGGTCTTTTCAGCCTGGAGAACAGGAGACTCCGAGGGGCTCTGTTGGCAACATATGGGTATGTGAAGGGGTGTCATGAAGAGGTGAGTTGAGACCGTTTTTTTCCTGTGGAGAAGGGCAGGATGTGTTGTAATGGAGCAAAGTTCAGGGAACCAAGATGCCAGGAACTACTTCCTGATTGTTAGGACCCCGAGGGCATGGAATGGGCTTCCATGGGAGGTGGTTGAAGCCCCGTCAGTGAGGGTGTTGAAGGATATGGTGGACATGCACATGGTAGACATGTCATGAGCAGAGCCGGGGGTAGATATATAGATATATGTGCTGAACAAAAAGCCATCCCTCAGGCTTTTTGCCTGGACCGCATGTCCTGCTTCCCAGAACATGCACAATTAAGTCTTGTTTTTAGGAGGATATCTGATGTCTTATCTACCTGATTTCCAGAGTGGTTTATATTTTCCTGGGATGAGGCCTGGCTTCTACGCTTTGGGTGATGAGGCTGATGGGCAAGTAACTTCTGGGCTCCTTTCGTATCTTCATCAGAAGTGTCCATATCAGCTGAATAGGAGGATTGGTGCTGTTCGTTCCACAGAATGTCTTTAAAGAAAGAACAGGTTTAGTGCCTTGGGATTCAGAGCAATAATTTTGTTTCATGAATTAGTAACAGGGCTAGGAGGTAGGACTTGCTGGTGCAGTGGGGGAGAGCTAATATTTCCCCCCACATAAATGTGAGTCCTTGCTGCCCATCAGGCCCAGGTAAGAGGTAGCAGCAAAGGGGTGGCTCACGTTTTTCCACCTTCCCGAGCACCTAGAATCTCAGGGAAGGGCAGAAAAGTGGAAGGAGCCTGAGGAGGGTCAGACTCAAAAACAAAGGGAACAAAATCACAACCTAGAGGATCAGTCTGTGGAGGCCGGCTAAAGGCCACCCTGTTTCATGAGGAAATAGTACGCATGGCTTTGCTTTCATCTGTCAGGAGAGAGCAACATGGAAAATGAAACTCTTAGCAGGTCAATGAGAGCAGGTGGCAGCAGATACCACCCAGGACATTGCCCAGGTGAAGCTTTCCTTTTCGGATCTGAGCAAGTGCACAGCTGTGAAAGTCTGATAAAAATAATTTTAAAAGGTCCAAATGTATATGCAGAAAAATCCTGCACTATTTTTTTAAGGGGGGGAAGCAAAGTGGAGCAAAAGTGCTTGTGATATCAGTGGGCAAGGCAGACAAGTTGGTCATTTAGCTGAGTCCTGTAGGACACCCCTGAGAGGACTGAGGAGGAAGGAGTGTGGAGACATCCACGGCAAGTGCAAATGCACCTATCCAGTGCATTATGGGTTGTTTCATAAACAACTCACCCTGTATAGCTCAGGGTCATTTCACATGCTGTGTGAACCTGTCTACTGTCATTTTTAGTACTTGGTTAAGATTGTCCAATACTCTCGGGCATATTGTGTTTTTTTATGTCAGTTATTCATCACTTCCCAGTATCTTATTATAACAGCTTCTAGCTGTTTTGATTGTTTTTAAATGCTGCATCATACGTTTTTATATTATGTATTTGTTATATTTCATTTCTGTGAACTACTTTGAGAACTTTGGCTATTGAGTGAGAAAGAAATGAATGAGTGCCAGCAAAAGCATTTTTTCCAATGCATGCAGCAACCTTTTTTGCAGAGAGACTTCTGTTGGGAGTACACCAAGTGCACACACACCAAATGGTGTATTCAATATGCTTTCCATCCCCCTGGGGGCCTCAGGCTGCTGGGCAGCCCTTGTAGCTGTTATTAAACAAGTTTAAAACATGCAACTTCGGTCAATCCTCATCAGACTTTTGCCTCTGTATTTCCAAACCTCAACTCTGGTTTGGAAACAGCTTTTAAATTCCAACTGAGGAGAATCACCTACATTTGACAAAACCCAACCTAAACAAAGAACATGTCAAGTGTCATTTGTGGGACTGCAGATGTCTAATCTTTGTGCCATGCACTTTTCTGTTTTGTTACCTTGTTAAGAGAAACCACATGAGGGTAATTTCATTTCCAGTAATCTTGTTTACTAGATATTTATAGTATCCCTAACACATTGAACCCCATGGGGGAAATTGGACTGGATCCATTTAAAAAGAAATTTCCATACTGAATTTAACTAAAACAAGTTCAAAGACACTGTTATGCCCAGTGAGCCATGCGGAAGGAGGAGCAAGGGGTGTCTCTGTCCTGATGCGTGGAATGCCATTCGAAGCCAAATGGGGCACATCAGTGTGGCAATACTGGGCATCCTGCAGTGAGCGCTTCCGGCTGCAGGCCTGTCTTTGTGATCTGTCCGGGTGGGTTGTGCTGCTAAGCCTTTGTGGCATCCCTCTGGAACACGAGGGGCCTGCCGCCGCACTCATTTCCTTGCTGTGAGGGATCGTGGAGACGTGTGTGGCAGCTCTGCCCCCTCTGTCACCAGACACATTAGCCCCTGCTGTTCGCTGCAGGACAGCTGGCTCTTCGCCTGGGGGCATCCCTGCATTTACAGCCCCAGCAGCGAGAGCAAGGCTCCCTCCAACAGGCTGCTACCCCACAACTCATTCATTCATTCATCGATTCATAACCTGCCTTTTTCCTACAAAGGGCTCAAGGCAGCTTGCATCATTCTCCTCCTCCATCTTATCCCCACAACAACAGCCCTGTGAGATAGGTTGGGCTGAGAGGCTGTGACTGGCCCAAAGCCACCCAGCTGGCTCCGTGGCTGAGCGGGGACTAGAACCCAGATCGCCTGAGTCCCAGTCCCATGCTCTTAACCACTACACACACTGGCTCTCCATCCCTGACTCATGACAGGGATGGAGACAAAGCTGGCATGCTTTGTTGGTGGATGACTTCACACACCTGAGTCGGGACAGTGATGCTCTTCCTGCATGGCACACATCTGAGACACAAACATTTTTTTTCTTTACTGAGACTGGCAGCCCAATGGATCAGTGTCACATGCTCTTGTGACCACTGAAGTTGTGACTTAAACAGCTGTATTTGACAGGACATAATCAGGAAATCAATTTTTTCTGTCTCATAAAATGCTCTAGACACATGGATTAATGTGTTGTGAAATTGCTTCTGAATGGGCCACTTGCAACTAGAGCTGTGGGACTACATGCTCTTCCATATTTTGTGTGTAGATAATAGATGCATAATTGAATGAGGGTTTACTCTTTCTAGGTTCCATCACAGAAATGTCCCTTAGAGAAATATAATCGTTCAGGGGGTGGGGGGCTGTGTCAGCACAGAGTACGTCATATCTCTCATACACTGCCCAGAGAGCTTTGGCTCTTAGGTGGTATAGAGACGGTGATGGTGATGGTGATGGTGAACATCTGGAATTTAAAAGGTATTCACATACCCCATAGTCAAAGGACCCACTTTAGCAATGTCTTAGTATCCTATTCCTTCCAGCCAATTATTTGGCTGGAAGGACTGATCAACCCCAGAGTCCATGACTCAGCAGGGAAGACCTATATTGTCTGCAGAGTTTCCTGAAGAACTCTGGCCTTTGTGCATGCAAAACAACAACCAACCTGTATTACCTCTGCCTATGAACTTGAAGTGCACAGACTGAATAACCGAAATCTCCACTGTTCTACTTTTGCTGAAAGCAAAACCTAAACTCCTCTGTGCATGTTTGCTGCAGATGGCCTGTGATCAGATCAGAAGAACTCACCAGCCTTGTGTTGCTTTTCCAGCACTTTAGGGTGTGAGTTTGTGGCCAGCAGGACCTCAGTGCTGAACTCCTGCTCTGGAGGAGACGTCCGCTGCCCCTGCTCCTGCAAGATATGGTAGAACGCGGCAGCCAGGTCTGCTTCAGCTATCATGGATTCTTTCTGCGAAGCACTTTCCTCAGCACCTGGAAATTCTGCGAAGGCCTAAGAAGAGAGGATGTCTATCAGTCAGTAAGAAACTGGTTCTACGCTTTCTTGCTCATGTCATCCTCGTAAAAATACCCCACATTTTCTTTCTCAAGAAGCCTTTATAAATCCAAATATTTCTTATTTGGTTTTCTAAACTGTTATACTTTTAACACTGCTTTCAGTGTTTTGTGTTTGTATTTCTTTATCCTTCTTGATTTTATAAGATTTGTTTTAAACCATCTTGACTGAATCCAAATTGGTGGTATGGAAAAAGAATGGATGGATGGATGGATGGATGGATGGAGCCTGTTCTTATACCTGCTGACACACTAATCTGCCTGGCCTCTTTCAAATTCAGAGCTCTCATAAATGCATTTCACAGGGCAGGTAAAATCCTTATGCTACAGAATGAGCTTGCACAGTGTAAAGGAAGGAAAAAAGCAAGAGAAGAAATGTGAAGGAGCCAAGGAAGGCACAAAGGCACACACCACCACCACCACCACCACCACCTCCTCCTCCTCCTCCTCCTCCTCCTCCTCCTCTTCCTCCCCCCAATACCTGAAGGCCTTCACCGTCAGGACCTGGTGAGAGCTGCATAGATTGGCGCCGAGACTGAGCAGAATATTCCGAGTCCATTTCAAAATCAAAGGGGTGGACAGAGAGCAGGCGCTTTGTCTGGCGCATCTTAGAAAGCATAGAAAGCGTGAGAATCCAGAATTGTAAATGCAGTAGATGCCGCACGTTTCCCTTCTTCCTACTTGCCAGGAAAGGGATTTTTTCCTGTGCTCACCTGCCTTTACATCTGAATTCAGATGTCGAACTTGCTCTTTACCTTTTCAAGCCAGTGAACCACCTTGGAAGTTAAGGGCAATTCCATAAACCTTTATATTGGAAACACTATAGCAAACATACTAACAAAAATAATAAAATTCTACCCGAAAGGGCAGAAACAAATGAGAATAATGATAACCATCTGTTCCCAGGATTAACTAAAATTTCTATGGGAAGAGTCTACTCCAATGTTTCCGAAGGGAGCAGACCTATTGCCTCATGCAGATGCCTGTGTGCCTCCACACTCACAAGCTTACAAGCATCCAGTGCAAGGCATAAGATGCAGCAGTGCTGCTCCTTGTTCATGCACTCACAGAATAGTAGAGCAGGAAGGAGCCAGGGGGCCATCGGGGCCCAACCCCCTACTCAGTGCAGGACTGAGAGGGAGGGTGAAACCATCCCATTCAGATGGCTTGTGGGAGAGTCCACGGTATCCCTAGATCATTTGTTCCAGTGTTGTACTGCTCTGATAATCAGGAAACTTTTCCTGATCCCTACCAGTATCTGGATTCCTGTACTTGAGCCCATTATCCATGTCCTGCACTCTGGGATACTCAAGAAGAGAGCCTGTCCTTCCTTTTTGCAACAGCCTTTCAAGCACTTGGAGGGTGCGATCGTATCTCGGGGCTAAACATGCCTTGTTCTTCCAGTCTCTCCTCACAGGGCTTTGTTTCCTTTTCCTAGATCTTCCTCGCTGCCCTACTCTGAACCCTCTCCAGCTTGCCTGCATCTTTCTTATACTGTGTTGCCCAGAACTAAACACCGTACTCTAGGTGAGGCCTAACCAGTGCTGTGTAAAGAGGAACTAGTAATTCACAGGATTTGGAAGTAATACTTCTATTCATGGAGCCTAAAAGAGGATTCACCCTTCTTGCAGCTACATCACATCATTGACTGATATTTAGGCTGTGATTGCAACAAATTCAAGATCCTTCTCACTTGCAGTATTTTTGAGCCAAGTATTCCTCATTTTCTAACAATGCATTTGGTTTCCTGTTCCAAGGTTCAAAACTTGGCATTTGTCTCTATTGAATTTCATTCTGCTGTTTTCAGCCCTGAGCTCCAACCTATCAAGATTGCTTTGAATTTTGTTTCCGTCTTCCAGGTTGTTTGCTATCCCATCCAATTTTGTGTCACCTTCATTTTATCTGAATAACCATTTTTCACTGTACAGTTTAGGACAGGCAAAGGGAAAGAAAGGGGGCTGAGGCAGCAGTTTGAATGGGCTCGCTCCATCTCCCTGCTATGCCCCTTTCCCTGCTCCAAGCCCGAGTTACAACCTCTGTGAGGGCAGAATCCAAGCACCGAGGTTGTAAGACCTTGGTGTTGTGCGACTACAGGATTGTGCCCTAAGTGTAATGAATGAAAAGTCACTCACTAAGTTACATGCTGAATGAGGAAAGAGTTAAAAATGCCAGCTAAGCTTCTAAGAACCAAGGAATCCAAAAGAACCCCTGCATCCTAGTTTGGCTAGATGTGCATTTGAACATAACCAAGTATTTTTTTCCTCAGACAGGGAAATGCCTTTACATTTGAACTGCAGTAACTTCTCCCAGCGTTACTTCCATGCTACTTTCATCTATTAGTCTGTCTTATTTTAGTAATCCTGGTCTTTTTCTTACAATGATGTGGTTTTCTCTAGTCCCTTCCTTTCTGGTACATTATCATCCAGACAACAGACAGTGCAGAGGGGTTTTTTTTAATGTTAACAGCCAGTCTCTTGGACCTTTTTGAGCATACTGGTAGAGAAGGCTCCCCCATACCCCCCAGGCCTACAGTTTAATGTCTTTTTAGCCCTTGGCCATGGAGAGGACTATTTTGACTAGTAGTTCTGTAACCATAGAAGAGAGAGAGGTGACTTCTAGAATATAAATAGTCTTGAGAACAATATCTTTTATTCACTGTTTTCTACACTTCTCTGCTGATCTGATTACTAGCAGTTTATGAATGACTTACTCCCACTGGTTAAGGAATAGCAAAGATGGGCTTCCTCTTTATGTTTTCAATGGAAATAAAATGGTAATTTAGATCCTTCTTAGAAACTGTGAATACATGAAGGGGAGGACACACAACCAGAGCCATGGCCAGGGCACTAGGGTTCTGTTCCAGTGACTCGATAGGAGAGGACTACCAAAAACCAAAAGCAAAAAGAAGCCCTTCTTCCCAGATCTGGCAAAAGAGAGAGAAGGCCCAGTATTACATAAAGGAACCACGGCTAAATAGAAAGCGACTGCTTCCAAGACCCTTACCTCAGAATAGCCCTCAGCCTCAGCGCTGCTGATGGCATCACTAGTCTCCTCCTCCTCACTTCTGTCATTCTCATTGTAGAACTGGTAATCACCTGGGTAGGAAAGGAACTGATAATGGTTAGGTGCACTGCGTATATATCTCACCTTTCTTCCTCTTGTAAAGGAACCCAAAGTGGCTAACAAGGTTCTCCTCCTGCCCTTGCTATCCTCACAAAACAACCTTGTAAGGCAGGTCAGCTGATAGTCAGTGACTAGGCCCAAAGTCACCCAGTGAGCTTCATGGCAGAATGGGGACTAGAACCAGGATCTCCTGAGTCCCAGGACAGCACCCTGAACCACTACACCATGCGGGTTCTCAGGGTGACACTGTGGCACTCTCAACCACTGCTCTCATACCGGTATCATACGCTGCCGTACATTGGTCATTCAAGTGAGGTGAAATTGGGGACAGACAAAACTCAGTGATAGTGTTTTGTATTTAGGGGTGTCCAACAGAGGTAGAACTGCTATCACCTTGAGTTAAAAGCATCCTGTTGGGAAATACCAGGAAAATACTTTTGCCAAGACTTAGGAGAAATACTACCAGAAATACTTCTGATCAGACATTTATATACCCTTATGCCTGATTACTACGAAGATATGATATTAGAATATACATTTGTTTCAAATTCTGACAATGCAACCCTGTACTCAAGAGCAAGTCCCATTGAGTGGGCACCCAAATGGCCACCATTCCCATGTTATGCCAAGAACGATTAAGTCTCCTTCGCCTATTCTTCAAGGAACATTTGAATTTTCCTCTCTGCTGCCATTTAGACTCTATCAACATGCAGTTTACATTTAACTGGGCACGTTATTCTCCAGAGTATGGATACTGTCTCCCTTACATTGACAGGATAAGTCAGTCTAAAGTCTGAAATAACAACTACCAATTATGGCAGGCTCAAAAGCTAAGTCCCCTTTCAAGAGTCAACATAGTTCTCAGGGTCAATAGCAGCATGAACATCTGCTGAAGTCCCAGGACAAAAAAAGTGCAAATTTGCAAATGCTAACTTACATTTGCAAAGGAATGTGCATACTTAGAAATAATTGCAGTAATTTCAATCTTATATAAGGAAAATGAATTAACCTCTTGCTTGTTTGCTTAACTGTACTATGTTCCAAAGTTACCCTTTGGATGTCCACACTTTTCCTTGGGCTTTCAGCCTCAAATCCAAGTGAGGAGGCAGAGAGAGCTGCTGCAGAAGGTAGCTCCGCATTTTATTTCAAGTACTTAAATTTGGTAGTTTGTGGGATTTCAGAGCAGTTTTTTTTAAAAGAGCTTTTTAAAAAGAGCAGTTCTTGGGTTTTAATTCCTGGAAATCTTACAATCTACACTAAATGTTGTCATCTTAAATTTCAATATTAAGTATAGTCATTTTGGATGCATTTTTTTTAAAAATTGCATGGATCAGAATGGTTATGTTTGTGTTTTGTTTGTTTGTTGTTTGTTTGTTGAGTTACCAGTTCCTTGGTTTCTCACTAGATCCAGATATTGGAACTGTCTTCAGGGTGGATGAGGCAGGTAGCAGTCCTGAACATGTTCACTGAGACTTAAGACTCTGCTCTTACCTGGGAGTAAACCCCATTCAACTAAGAATGACTTGTTTCTGAGTAAACATGTTTAGGACTGCACAGGTAGTTTGAACATATTTTCCCACCCATAGTCCCCCCCGCATTTGTGTCCCTATCCCACATAATTTCCAATACTATTTCATAGGGATGTGCAAAACCAATCTATTCTGTGTGGAAAATTTACTGAATTTCCTGGTTTCCGCAGCCTAGAGTCGGAGTTCCTGGTGAGTGTGCCCAGGGCTTGCAAGGTGCTTGCCAGAAATCGATTCCTGTGCACTGCACAGGGCATCAGGAGGTTGACGACTGGAAATGGCAGCTGAGGAAGGTTGTCAGTTGTGCAGCTTGGGCTCTGAGAACATTCACAAACTTCTTGGCTTGGCTTGCTTTGCTGAACTGACTGAGAGGAAGTCCACAGATTCTGAAGGGATGGATTTCAAAAGGGTTTGTCCCAGCCCTACCATCTCAGTTCCCTGCCCTTTCCCCTGTCCCCATGGCTCCATAGCCATATCCAGGGCTGGCCCCTAACACATTTTGCTACCTGAGGCAGAGCAGAAAAATCCAGAGCCCCAGTCAAGGTATACAGTATTACTCAAAGCCAATCAATTTGTTCTGGCTCCCGAGTAGATCAGCAAGTAAGTACCATTTTATCCAATTACACGAAAAGCAAAATCTTTCAAAATAACATTCTGTACAGTAGACTCCTGTCCAGAAAGCTTATTATGTTATGTGAATAAATGCACATACTTAAAGGTGCCACACAGTGTTGTAGCTTTTGTACATTTATAAACTTTTTTAGTCTAGGGCAAACCTCTGATACCAAGGAGGACCATGCATCCACCAGAATCATACAAAAAGCAAGTGCACTCCAGAAGATGGCTATAGAGCCAAGGGGCTCCAGATACCCTAAATTAAGCTACCAAGCTCATGTAAGTTGTACTTACATATATTACCTCCCCCAGATTCAGACAATGCTGTTCATTCAAACTCTTTTTACAAGTTGGGGCTAGCTTAGAAGAAGCAAGAGATGAGGAAAACCTCTGGCACACCACTTGATGTGGGAACAGCCAATGTGCCTGCTCTTCCTTTTGCTGCCTACAATGGCCCAAGAGCACAAACGCAATTGCCCAGTAGCCACTGGCTGGGCAGATCTCTGCATAATCAAGCACATGGAAAAGGCTAGGTTACAATGGTGCTGTTCGGTAGTTTTGAACTCTGGATGTAATGAAAATAATGAGCGGACAGTAAAAGGAAATGTGTCAGTCTCCCTTTCTTGTTTAAAAGGTAGGCGTGTTCATGCTGCTCTTCCTATTATTCTGCTAATGGAGTGAGTCTTAGGATCTTCTATCTGTAAAGATACTTAGTTGAGTGAAGCAGAAGCTTTTATCAAGGCAACTGGGATAGTTCTAAAGATCCAGGGCACTGCTTAAAAAATACAGACCACATGAGTAAGTGAGCCACTCATGAGGGGAGCTCCTGAGTGGTGGGGCAGATCAGCTCTTAATGAAGACAAGCCCTAGTAGGTTGTCCTCTAACAGGAAAAGCAGGTTGCTTACCTGTAACTGATGTTCTTCGAGTGGCCATCTGTGCAGTCACACATATGGGTACTGCACCTGTGCAGTGCCTGTGGCCGGAAGATTGTCAGCTAACGGTTTTTGGCGGGAAGCTCCGCTCCCCCTCCCCCCTGTGGCCTATAAAGAGCGGAGCATCCGCCATTTTGTTCAGTCTTTGCGACCGAACGTACACCACCTTATGGAAAAAATTTGTTTGAAGAGTCCAGATGGAAGAAAAAAAGGAAGGTCAGTACCATGAAAAAAAGGGATGGTTGGTACCGAAAGATGCATCCACTCACCGACACCGAGTGGGGCCGGCGGGTGGGTTGTGTGACTGCACAGATGGCCACTCGAAGAACATCAGTTACAGGTAAGCAACCTGCTTTTCTTCGTCGTGACCTCTGTGCATCACACATATGGGTGACTAGCAAGCTTACCATAAAGGAGGAGGGAAGGTGTCCTCATTGAAGAACGGAGGAGAACAGCTCTGCCGAAGGAGCAATCCCGTCAAGCTCGAACGTCGAGACGGTAGTGCCTGGGGAAGGTGCAAGGGTTTGCCCAAGTAGCGGCTCGGCAGACATCATCAAGTGGAACCCCGGATGCGAAGGCAGATGAGGTTGCAACGGCTCTAGTAGAATGGCCTCGAGGAACTGAAGGCAGATCGAGCTTAGCTAATTGATAGCATAAGACTATAGTATGGACTATCCACTTAGAGAGTCTCTGTGGAGTGACTGGATCGCCCTGATCCATAGCAGAATATTTGATGAATAGTTTATTGGAACATCGAATAGACTCCGTTCACGATCGGTAGAAGGCTAAGCAGCACTGAACATCGAGTGACTGCAAAGATCTTTCCAATGGAGTCGACGGTGACAGAATAAAGGCAGGCAGCACAATGTCTTGTCCCGTATGGAAAGCTGTAGACACTTTAGGCAAGAAAGACAGGTCGAGGCGTAAAACGACCTTCTACCTGTGAAAGTTCAAATAAGGAGGGTCTATGCGGAGGGCACAAAGTTCACTGGCCCTTCGGGCTGAAGTGACAGCCACAAGAAACGCCATCTTCCAAGAGGCCAATAGCAGATCCACTGTCGCCAAAGGTTCAAAGGGGGCCTTTGTAAGGGCCTGTAGAACGACAGAAAGGCTCCAGGTGGGCATCACCAGCCTAATTGATGGGTTAAGATTATATAGTCCCTTCAAAAATCTTTTGAGGATAGGATGAGAAAACAGAGGCGATCCGTTGACTAAGCCACGGTAGTAGGCTATTGCAGCTGTATATACTTTAATGGACGACAGTTTCAATCTGGAACGGTGTAGTTCCAAGAGGAACTGAAGAATTTGTTGTATAGATGAGAGGAATGGAGAGAACGAACGAGACTCGGCAAAGGTGAAAAAACGTTTCCATTTAGCCTCATATGACTTCCTTGTGGACGGCTTTAAGGCAGAGTCGATGATATGTTGAATATCAGGGTGCAAAAGCATCGGATTCGACGGGTCTTGTCTCGAACCCGAAGGTACAGAGAGACCAGAGAAAAGCGAAGCATCCGAGTGATTGGATTCGACAATTGGATCCAAGTTGGTCGAAGTCGTCGCCGGTACAGATGGATTAGTAGAAGCTGTCAGATTCGTCACTCTCGAAGTCATCGCCGGCACCGATGGAATAATGTCAATCATCAAATTCGCCACGCTGTTAGATTCAAAGGGAGCAAGTCCGGGTGGCGAAGTGTGCCGTCCGCTTTTGTTATAAGATATGGAAGCGATGGTAGATGAAGAAATTCCCCGTGAGAGATGTCGAGTAGTTTTGCAAACCACGCTTGACGTGGCCACCAAGGGGCAACTAGTATCCCCGATGCCCGGTTGTGCACTATCTTTGCTATGACCCACATCAGAAGAGGGATCGGAGGGAAGGCGTAGAAGTTCATATTGTTCCAAGGGATCATGAATGCGTCCCCTAGGGATGCGTGTCTGATTCCCGCTCTTGAGCAGTAAGCCTTGCACATCCTGTTCTGTTGGGTGGCGAATAAGTCCATGTTGGGAAACCCCCAGTGCCAGAAAAGGTGGTTGCGCGTGCGAGGATCTAATTCCCATTCGTGAGAGGTGAACATGTGCCTGCTGAGAAGATCCACCTGCACGTTGTCCACACCAGCTAGATGAACAGCCATCAGCATGATGTGTCTCCAGATGCACCAGTCCCAAATTTTCACAGAAAGTCTGGCTAGAGTCGGTGACTTTGTTCCCCCTTGCTTGTTCAGATAAAAGACAGTAGCTATATTGTCCGAAGTTATCTGAACGATCTGATGATGAAGGATGTCCTCGAAAGAGCACAGGGCCTTGAATACTGCCAGTAGTTCTAGGAAGTTGATATGATTCATGGATTCTCGACGATTCCACATACCCTGGGTAGATAGGCCAGAGCATATCGCTCCCCATCCCAGAAGAGACACGCCGGTACCAAGAGTTATTGTAGGAGGTCGTGCCCTGAAGGGACTCCTATCGTCAGATTGGTCGGTTCCAACCACCAAAGCAGAGAGTGAAGCATGGAAGATGGGATCCGAATCAACCTCGACTGTGGATCTCTTTGAGGATGGTACACCTTGTTGAAAAAGAGTTGTAGCGGACGAAGCCGAAGCCTGGCATGCGGAACTACGGCAACTGAGGAAGCCATATGCCCCAGGATCCTCTGGATAGACTTCGCCGGGACCGTTCCATCTCGTTGGATTCGACGGATGTGGCAAGCAAGAGTCTGTTGTCTGTCCTGAGGGAGGAAGGCTTTTTCCAACGTTGAATCCAAGCGGGCTCCAATGAAGGTGAGCGTCTGTGTCGGAAGAAGAGAAGATTTCTCGGTATTAATACGTAGGCCTAGGCTATTGAGTAAGGGACAAGTTGTATGGATGGCCGCGAGGAGTCCTTCTCTGGACTGCGACACTAACAGCCAGTTGTTGAGGTACGGGTAAATCTGTATGCCTTGGAGGCGTAGAAAAGCACAGACAGGAGCCATGCACTTGGTAAATACCCTCGGAGCCATAGCCAATCCAAAGGGCAAAACTGTAAACTCATAAAGTTGGGTTGCAACTGCAAAATGAAGGAAATGCCTGTAACTTGAAATATGTGAATTGAAATATGGAAGTAGACGTCCTTCAAGTCCAATGAGGCGAACCAATCCTCTCTCCTTAGCAATGGCAAAATGTTTTGAAGGGTAGTCATGCGAAACTTTTTCGGTACAATGAACTTATTCAAGTTCCGTAAGTCCAAAATCGGAAGTAGACCACCATCCCGCTTCAGGACCGTGAAGTATCTGGAACAGATTCTGTGGAGTCCGTCAGATGGGAATACTTGACAAATTGCTCCTTTACAAAGAAGTTGATGTATTTCGTCGAGCAGTACTGGTGAACATGAAGTGAACCGGATCGGACTCGGTGGAGGAACAATGTCGAATTCTATTCGATAGCCGTGCTGAACGATGGACAATACCCACCGATCAGATGTGATGGACTCCCAAATGGGGAGCCGGTTTCGGAGCCGATCCACAGATGAGAGGGGGGTGGGTATTGGTGGAGTGTGAGGAATGGTTCGCCAGTCCCGTCAACGTTGCCTCCGATCACTGAAACGGCAGCGGCCTTGTTGGAAGCGTTGCTGGGGCTGCGGACGGCAGCGCTGCTGCTGCTGTTACTGGCGATGTTGTGGCTGTTGCCTTGGCTGATATGATGGCCTGTAGGATGGACGATTCCAGGACCACTTACGTCTAGCCTGGGTCTGTATCTCCATCCTGCGTGCCATCATCCTCGATTCATGCAGCTTCTTAAGCTTGTGGTCGGTGCGTGAGTGGAAAAGCCCGGATCCATCAAAAGACATTTCCTCTATCCGGCGCTTGGTTTCTTCCGGAAAATTGCAATTCTGAAGCCATGCATGCCTTCGGAGAGAAACGGCACCGACCAAGGCCCATAAGTCAGTATCCATGTGGTGCCTTGCCGTGGATAACTGCTGCACTGCGACCTGCATAGCTTCCTTAATCAGGACCTTAGCGAGGTCACCCTGGTGGTCTGGGAGGGTTGAGGCGACGTTGTGCAGGCGCTGCATAATGAAGTATTGATACCTTGCCAACGTCGCCTCGTAATTTGATATGCGCAGCCCCAGGCTTGAAGCAGGGTAGACTCGCCTAGCCAGGGAGTCTATTTTTTGGCCCTCCTTGTCCCTCGGTGCCATGTGCCCTCTCGCCTCTCTGCCCTGCAAGGATTCGACGACCACAGAGTTCGGTTTGGGATGTCGGAGGAGGAAGGGGATGTCCTCCTCCCGAACCCTGTACATCAACTCATATCTTCTGGACATCGGTTGAGGGTGTGATGGCAGATCCCAGGGCTGCGTCATCGCCTGCCGCAAGGTGGTTATGAGCGGCAGGACGATAGATGTCGACTGCTCCCTGCGGACAACATCATAGAACTTGTCTGTCATCGGTTCCGGGCGCTGGACGGCGTCGATGTCAAGGGACTGGACAAGTCTAGACATCAGCTCCGCGAAGGAGACGTGGGACTCGTCAGGCGACACAGCACCCTGGGATGTCACGGTAAGGTCCGGGGAGGTTGAGTCGGCCTCCAAGTTGGCCGAATCGGCACCGTAGTAGGGTGGGGCCAAAGATGACGACTCCGCCGGGGAGAAGGAACGGCTGCTTCTATCCTGTGGGGATTGAGGTGACGCCCGCGTCGGATCCGTTGAGCGCAGTCAATCACGGGATGGAGGAGAGGATCATGCCCTGGGAGCAGGGTAGTATCCTACGGAGAGCGGATCACCCCAAGTATGATAGTAGGGGCGACGCCAGCTCTCCGGACATTGCTCTGCAGAGCGGCTCCTCCGGCTCCCCAGTGGGGACAGTCCAACGTCCACTTCCATGGTGACCGCGGGCATGGGTGTTGGTGACCTCGCCCTAGTGAGGGAGTCTTGGATTTCCCCGTCGGATATCGAGCCCCGTAGAGTTGGAAGGCGGGAGGTCAACCACACGGTGGGGAGACCCTTGAGGGGTAACCCGCATAGCCTCCTGAAGGACTGGTTCGGGCGGAGTCGGTACCGTAAGCACCACCGGTACCGAGGGGCCCGTCGGTTCTGAGTCCCGATGTCGGGGACGGTCCGGACGGTCCGAATTCCTGGGCTTCTTTGGAGGCTTGGAGATGTTTTCCTTCCTGGCCTTTTTATGGCCTGCCAACTTCTCGGATTCGGCATGCTTCCACTTCTCGTGCTTCTTTTTAGGTGAAGCAGAAGGAGCCACCGAAGCAGACGCACCTTCATCCGAAGGCCGTGAGGGTAGGGCCACAGAAGCGGAGCCAGGTTCTGGGATGGCAATAAGCGGGTCTGATTGCATTAGGGCCTGATCCCAAAGGAGTCTCCAGAGGCGATTTTCGCGATTCTTCCTGGCCTGCTTGGAGAAGACCAGGCAATGTGCGCATTTATCCGTCCTATGCCCCTCGCCCAGGCAGAGGAAGCATAGGTCATGCAGGTCAGTTGGTGCCATTTTTTGACCCACAATCCGTGCATTTGCGGAAAGCCACTCGCTGCGCCATCGCAGAAAAGAAGGAGAGAGAGACAGTGCAGAGGGTAAGTGTGTATATATATATATATATATATATATATATATATATATATATATATTTAGATAGATAGATAGATAGATAGATAGATAGATCGAAAAAGAAGGAATAACAGGAGAAAGCTACGCGGAACAATGAACTGGGAGCAAGGAGAATAATCTGGGAAAATAGAAGGACAATCGAGAGCAAGGTAACGGTCGAAGCGAAAGTCGAAAGCGGCATGAGGCACAGCGAACGGCGGTTGCAAAGACTAAACAAAATGGTGGACGCTCCGCTCTTTAGAGGCCACAGGGGGGAGGGGGAGAGGAGCTTCCTGCCAAAAACAGTTAGCTGACAATCTTCCGGCCACAGGCACTGCGCAGACGCAGTACCCATATGTGTGATGCACAGAGGCCACGAAGAAGAAACATAGAAACAGAGCTAGTCAGAAGGGGCTTCCCGGGCCATCTAGTCTGACCCACGGCTCTGCTCATGAAATACCTATCATGTGCATGTCCACCATATCCCACCTCCCATGGAAGCCTATTCCAGACCCTCGGGGTCCTAACTGTCAGGAAGTAGTTCCTGGCATTCACCTTGAATCTTGGTTCCCTGAGCTTTGCTCCATTGGAATGCATCCTGCCCTTCACTGCAGGCAGAAAAAGGTCATGACCCACCTCTTTGTGGCACTCCCTCATGTACCTGTATGTCACTAGCAGGTCCCCTCTGAGTCTCCTCCTCTCAAGCCCGAAAAGACCCAGCTCCCTCAGTCTCTCCTCATAAAGCTTACCCTGCAAACCAGCCAACATTCTAATGTCCCTTCACTGCATAACTTTTTCAAAGATTGTTTGTTTTTGTTTGTAACAACAAAAAAGCAACTTACTGTTAATGTTTGGCAAGCTGTACACTCTGTCATGAAGACCTAGAATAAGAGGAAGTTAGTGGGTAAAATAAAATTCAGTTAAACTATACAATACTAAGTATGATGAAGACCTCAGAAATTAGCAATTACTCCCTTAAGGATTCATGTAAAATCACAAATACAGAAGACAAACCCCACTGGATCACGTCCTCATCACCTTCTCCTCCATGATTGCCTAATTCCCTTTTAAGGTTTTCAGAACTGGTCCCCAGAGCTTCATCTTGTGATAAAGAATTCCACAGTTAAACAGTGTGCTCTGTAAAAAACTACTTCCTGTTATTTACTATTATTTATTTTTATTTATTTTTTAAAAAATGTATGCTGTCCGTTACTGTCATCTCTGGATGGCTTACAACATTATTTCAGAATAAAATAAATTAACTATTCCATGCTGAGCATCATTTAAAATATAAATAAGTCATATCACAATTAAAATTATGTGTTAAAATACTGGCCAAATAAAAAGGTCTTGACCTGGCGCTGAAAAACATATAATGACAGCGCCAGGCAGAACTCTCTGGGGAGCGCATTCCATAGTTGGGGCGCCACCGCAGAGAAGGCCCCCCTCCGAGTACTCCTAACCTCTTTCAAAGAGGGTTCCCAGAGGAGGGCCTCTGCTGGCAATCTTAAGGGGAGGGCATGCGGGAAAAAGGTGTTCCTTTAGGTATCCTGGTCCCAATATGTTTAGGGCTTTATAGGTAATAACCAGCACCTTGAATTGAGCCAGGACTTTGATGGGAAGCCAATGGAGCTGATAGAGGACTGGGGTTATATGAGAATAATGACCAGTCCCTGACAGCATCCTGGCAGCTCTATTTTGCACCATCTGAAGTATCCAGACTGTCTTCAAGGGCAGCCCCACGTAGAGCATGTTACAGTAATCCAAACGGGAAGTAACCAATGCGTGTGTCACTGTTGCTAGGTAGTTCTCCTCCAGGTAGGGACGCAGCTGATAGATCAGCCGAAGATTTATTTGTCCTGAATCTTCCTCTATTCAGTTTTAGTAAAGACAACTGAAAATAGTAACACCTACTGTGAACTTTAATCCCCAGTTAAATTTTGACTGTCAACAAGCATATTGCTACATGCAGCTTCATTCTTGAGCAAATGCTTAGAGCTGATGCTTTTCTAATTATCCGTACAGTTATGATTCTAGGTATTTCTTCTTGCACCAGATATCCATTTCAATCAACTGCCTTTGTATGTAAAATTGTTCTTAGGATGTACAGTTATATTGTGTCAGGTGTTTGTTTTTAATACAGTGGTCTTTCTCATTACGACAATTTGCTGGCAAAGCAATTAGAATAATGTAGTAGAATGGCTACTGAGACACCAACATCTCACTTGTAATATTACACAAGCATCATAGTTTTACACTGACCCAGCAGTCATGGGCTGATCCATACCAGCAAAGGGCATGCAAGAATAAGGTACAGAACTGGGGATAACTCATAACTGTGGATAACCGCATGTCAACCTATGATTATTTCAGCCTGAAATGAGTTGCATTAGTACAAATGCAGCACATCTGATAAGTTATAGTAAAATGTTGGATTGGTCTTGGCCTTGCACAGAATTCTGTCTCAGCCATGTCAGTATGCCAAAATTGGAGGCATGGTGACTATTTAGATTTTCATTAGTTAACTATTCAGAAAACTAGTCCCAGTCAAAGCACAAATAAAGCATGATCTAATGTGAATAATCCCATTTCATATATGATATCATATCAAAGTAATGTAAGACCATTTTCTCAAAGAAATGTGTTAGATTGTTGTGAGCCATCCAGAGACAGAAGTGATTGGACGGCCTAGAAAAATCCTAAACAAATAAATGGAGGCCAATGATGCAACTCTCCTTCAGAAACCATCAACAGGAACCAGCACATTACAGGTAGACCCTAAGTTAGGAACAACCCATACTTATGTCTGCCATAAACCCTATACAAACATCTCTAAAAAAAACCTGTGAATATCTCTAGGGAACTATGTGACAGAGTCCAAGCCCCTGCTGTTGCACAACACCAAGTTACACCATCCCACTCAGATGGCAGTCCAGTTTCTTTTTGAATGCCTCCAGCATGGGAGAGCCCACCACCTCTCCAGGCAGCTGGTTCCACTGCCATATTGCTCTGACAGTGAGGAAGCTTTTCCTGATGTCCAGTCTGAATTTGGGTTGTTGTAGCTTGAATTGATTATTCCATGTCCTACACTCTGGCATCAGCAAGAAGAGATCTTGACCTTCCTCTTTGTGACAGCCTTTGAGGTGCTTATAGTTAATGTTAGGCATGATGATACCTCAAGAATGTTCTAAACTGCTTTAAGAACCATTTGTTGTAATTGTTTTTACAATACTGTATAGCTACACACATACATATAGATTCTCTCTCTGTCTCTTCAGTACCTGTAACTTTATTATTACTCTATAATAATAGAGTAATTATAATGCCGTGTGGGGTTAAGATGTTTTTAGTGAATATGGAAGTGTTTCTATATGCATAGAAATGTAAAATATATACATATACTTGGCCAAACATTTGGCTTATTCGTGTGATCCAACTTACATAAAAAATTGACTTAAGGCCACTCTCAGGAACAGAACTTGCCCATAATCTAGGGACCACCTGTATGCTGAAAACTTGGAAGATCCACAGAAGCAGCTTTCTTAATACAATCTGGCTGTATTTCCCAAGCCAAAAGTTTCCCAGTGTCACTTAAGTGTTGTAAACCACAAGTTATATTTCCCACCTGAAACCTGTAAAATTGCTTAACATTGCCACCTCTTGGCCAGGTTATTGTTCAGCGATTTGATTCAACCAAATATGTGGAAAAGGTGTGTATGTGCACATGGCTTTGTGTGTGTGTGAGGGAGAGAGAGAGGGAGAGACAGTGCTTCAGAAAGTTTGTACATCATGGCAGCAAATCTTGGGTTATTTAATCCTTGCCTAGTATGGGAACACATGCTGCCCGTGCTTCTACTTTCTGTAAATAACTGTGAGCCTGGCACAGAAACCTGGTTCAATAAATTATTTAGCAACTAAACCAACATGGTTTCTTGTTGGGTTAACCACTCAGTTGGTTACTCCTAAAAACATATTGGTCCAGGTTTATATGTGATTCTCACAACCTTCAATTAAGGCTGTTTACAGAAAATGGAAGCAACATTCTCTCAGCACAGGTTCCAGCAAATTTTGGAACCCACAGTGTACTGCTGTGACATGCAATATAATGACTAAAGTATCTGTCTCTAGGAGCTTTAAAACAACACATTAGCTACAAAATATAGCTTAATATTTGAGCTGCCCTCCCCTCTTCCCCTCACTTTTCCTCTAACTCTTACTTTGCTTAACATCCAGTCTGTCAAGGAGTTCTAAAAACTCAAAAGCTTGCTAAAAATGTTGCGAGATTTTGTTTGCTTCTAATACTGCTGAACTGTGGGTTTCTGGCACCATCTATTTTGTGCACTTATTTTAAAATTCTTGGACAAAGAAACTGTTTACCCAAGCAAATGGACAGCACAGGGCTGAATAATGAAAGGGTGTAGATCCTGAGTCCCCAAGAGCCCCCATCACCACCCCAAGAAGGTTACAGCTCTTTCCTTTGATCCTACCCATTTTTGTGCAGTTTTTTCCTCCATTCTAAAAGACTTTTTTAAAGACTTAGTTACTGGCAAAAAGGTCTTTAAGTTAAAATATGCCAGTATTTTTTGGCTTTGCCCCTTCTGCTTTTGGCTCTACCCATCACAAGTATTTCTCTGAAATGGAATCATGCTTTGTGATTGAACGAGGTTCTGTATCCTGCAGTAAGGTACTTGGCAGGATGTGCCAAACGTGTTCAAAGTCTTCATGAAATAATGACTCCATAATGTTATAATGGGTTGACCTGCAGCATAACTCTCTGATAGACATAAAATGGTAAATAAATGATAAAATCAAGAGGCAGAACAGGGCATATGTCAGTAATCTTCAGCTACTTTGGAGAATCTTTAATTGTCAGGATACTGGAGGTCAGAGTACCTAAGGAAAGCCAGCAGGAAATCAGCATGTTCCAACTGCCCAGTGGTAATTCTGGGTAGGATCCAAAGTGGAAATCAGGAAACTGTGAGCACAAGCTGCTTGTACAACAGTTCTTAGAGTACTAAATTGGTAAATTCTATAGCAGTGCTTTTGCTTCAGCTTAAACAAGAGGCTGGACAAGCTCTTACAGAAAGTTTTTGAAGCCACAAGCTCAAGAACATCTCTGGACCCTATCTGCTTATCTAGTACTGAAGTCCATGAATTTCAAATTGAGCAGTCCATGAAGCAAAAACACACTGGTAAGGCCCTGAATTAAAGAGACTTACAGGAAAGGCCCCATTAGTCTGTCTCTAGTGGTGCTAATTTATTACAAGGATGGAGCGCCATTGGCCTTCTAGATATTGTTGGACTTCAAATTCCCACACCTGGTCTCTGGTGATGATGTTCCAGAGTACCATCATCTCAACTCAGCAACAAACTAGGTTGACCAACAGAAATCCATAGTCAAAACACCAATTTCTTTAAATTTTGTCAAGGAACACCTATGGGGTGGTGTGTGTGTGTGTGCGTGTCGGGGTGAGCAGTCTGCTGCTCTTCTATTTCCCAATTTCTGCTGCTCTTCTATTTCCCTCCATACCAAATGCTATTCTCCTTATTTAGGAAATTTTGATTTGCATCAGAATCATATCCACAAACACCAGGTCTGCTCTGCACGGTTACAGAAGTACTTCCAGTGGGCATTCCTTGTGCTGGAAGACAGGCAGTGATCCCCAGTATTGTTTGAATGGGTGAAGAGGTCCTTGTCAAATTTTTAAAATCCAGTCTAAATGGCAATTATTTATATAACCAAGAGAGTACAGTACATTATTTGGAGCAGAAAACTCACCTGGAAACTCCAAGAACAGTCATGTTGTTGCATAGCTACATCAACTACATAACTCAGTGCCCTTTCTTCAGTTGAGACCAGATTCAGATGTGGCAGCATGATCTAACATCACTTTGAATAGCTACAGTATGAATAACATCTCTAAACAAGGGATTGATTGTGATCAGTAGTTGCAACCAATGGTCCATTTCTCCAAAAATGTTCTACATTAATTCTAAACCAACTGCTGCTAACTTTGAAGAGGATGCCTCTAATTTTAGTATTAAGTGAAAGGGCAAACAGCTCATCGCAGTACACTTTTTCCAAACTACTCACCAATGGTGATTAATTTCTAAAAACAAGGTGCTGGGAAGCAAGCCAGCCAGCAAACCACATGTTTTGGCTTGGAAGCCATGTCACTCATTCCAAATTTGTGGGAATAGACTGTGATTACTCAGAAATAATTATAGTGATTAGTGAACAGTTAAGTCAATACTCAGTATTTTGCAAAATCTACCAAGGGAGACATAAAAAGTTACTGAGAAGCTCTCACCAAGGCCCTTGCCCATGCCAAGAAAGGTAGGATTCATTTTCATCCTTCCATAAAGAGATTGCATGACTTTGGCACTTCCAAATTGCTTAAAACGAGATCTCACGTGCTCATAGTACCACTCCAGAGTTCCAGTCTCCACAATCCTGTCCAAGATAAGAAGCAGAGTCTGTATAAACTTAGGTCAGCATGGATTATCCCCAGTGTTCAATCAATTAAAATTTTCCCAGTGATCAGCTTTCGAGTGTGCTTCGTGGCTCTCTGAACGCATTACTTATGCGCATGACGTTCTCACACAGAAGGCCCTCCTGGATGCCCACACCTCTGATGCAGATGTTGTTGGACTAGCCCCTCCTCCCCCATCCACACATCAAGTGCTGACATCCGAAACGGAAGCCCTGTACCCAAGCAGCATCTCCCGTGTGAGGATTCTTCTGAATGTTGCTGCTGTTCCATATGCAGATATCAAAGGCAAGGACTAGCCCAGCCATAGCATGCCATGGCCAACATTGAAGCCCAGTGCTTCCCCCTACATTTGGGTTCCATACATACCACTAATGAGTACATATTTACCTCTAAAGTATTGTAGGTGAAAGGGAGGATTTAGAAACCAACTCATGGGAACTGGGGATAATAAAGACTGGTGCTGAGCCATTAAGGGAGGGCCAAATTCTATGAAAAAAACCATCAAGCCCTCCTTCTGGTAATTGTTCAAAATCTATTGCAAATGGGCTGAGAAATGCTTTGATTCCTATGTTTAGCTAGGATTGTCCATCTGGTCAGTACAAAAGCAGCCTCATGGGGTTTTTTGCCCCTAGTGATTAGGTTAGATCTAACTGGCTACATCATCATACTGGTACATGATCTCTGGCCAGGGGTGATCCAGAAACTGAAGTGGGGGAATGTGTGCTGGAGGGAAAGTAAGTAGTGGCTGTGAACAAAAGTAAACTGTAAGAAGCTGGGACTAAGGGCCATTTCAAATCCTGTCCCCATCACAACTTTTCAGGCCAAATCAAATCTTGGAGAATGCTTTGCAAAACATTATTACAGGTGCTTCTATACCACTATACGTGTGTGCTATGCTGGGCAAACTTTGCCCTACTTACCTATTAAAATATAGCATCTCACTCATTAGAAATTTTCTACATTGTGCTAAATATTTGCCCATTTTCAATGATGGGTGACCAATTCACCAAACGAAGCCTCTTCAAGGCAGTTTGTTAGCTGAACAGAGAGCGTTAGAGCAGGCAGAGGCCAGGGGCCTGGTGAAGCAGAAGTCTGGGATATTAGCTGCTAGGCCTTGATTAAGGAGACAGGGTCATGCCTTGGCCATGTGGCCTTGAGGCAATCACCATTTCTCAGCCTAAGCTATCTTAGGATAAAAGGTTATAGAGCATATATGTTAGCCTGAGCCTTGTGGAAGAAGCATGAGATTATAACATAGCAATACAGTGGTACCACGGTTCACAAACTTAATTCGTTCCACAATTCTGGTCGCGACCCGAACTGGTTGTGAACCAAGTCAAATTTCCCCATAAGATTCAATGTAAATAAAGTTAATCCATTCTGACCCCTACAAACGTGGTCATGAACCGATTTTGATTGCGAACCAAGTCAAATTTGCCTATAAGGTTCAATGTGAATAAGGTTAATCTGTTCTGTAATTTTTTTAATCACAAAAATTTGAAACAAAGTCACAAAAAACAAGAAAGTAACAAAGTACAGTAGAGAACACTAACCTAGGTGTGGGGGGGGGGAGGTTATTATTTGGAGGGAGAGTTACTCTCCATAAGGACATCAGGGAGATCTCCTTCAGGGGTTTCCTCTGACTCTTAGCTGCAGGGTCAATTTTGGTGAAAAATCTGCACGTTCTGGTCACATTCATTACCATTCTGCACATTCTTTTTACCACCATGCTTGTTCTGGACTTTCTTTGGAGCCATTATTCAATATTATTATTGAATAATACTTTACACGACTGTGTGTGCTAAAAAGCACACAAAAAAGCTTCACAGCAAGTGACCACAGGTCTGTCTGTGACCACAAGCGGGGAAGATGGGCGTAATCGCGATCATGCTTGTGTGGGAATATGGCCACGATCATGGTTGTCACCCAATGAGGAGTTCACGAATGGACGCAATTTTTTTCTGAAATGGTTGTTAGTGAACTGATTTGATCGTGTACTGAGGCATTCGTGAACCGAGGTACCACTGTAACAACCTTTACAATTCTCCTTACTTTAGACAATTAAAAGGTGAAGTATTGTGGCCTAGAATGTATCTGGATGTAGACATTCCCCATTCTGATATTTAGCTTGATCTCCCTTGTGAGTCCTCTAGCCCAGCCTTACCTGGATAAGCGACATGGATCACACACCCAACCTTGCTCCCTTTTGTTGAAACGGCTGCAGTTCTTGCAGGTGTACAACTGACAGTCTAAACATTGCCGCTTGCTGTTTACCAGGAACTTGAAGGGCTGCAGGCAGTGGATGCAGTGAGTTTCATTTATTTGAGACTGAGTGGACAATAGTTCTCGCTTTGTGCTTTCTTTTTCAATCTTGCCTTTCAGGTCTCTTTGAAAAAAATATAATAACCGTATTTATCAAGTGAACTGTGCCAGAAAAAAAGGCAGAAGACACACAGGAGGAAATTGAATTATTTACTCCTAAAATGTATTTAGAACTCAGATTCAAAGTATGTCATAGAATACTGTATGTCTAGACTCCAGCATCTTTTTGGCATACATAGAGCCCATTACAGGTACTGTATTTATAATACTTCACACACATTGTCTGTGTAATCCTTACACCAAAACCCTCAACAGGAAGGCACATTATCTCCCATAGCAAATGGGGCCTAGTGAGTTTGCATCTGAGGAGATCTGCACTGGAAATGCCCTGGTTTCTAGGCCACACTTGTATGCAATCCTAAGTGGGGTTGGGATGGATGGATAGATGGATGATGAGTGAAGCAGCAAATCTACCTCTGCATTCAAAGTCCTACCAGTTCGCTCCAGCCAGGGCAGAGAGGGGCATCCCTCCACCCGTGCATTTTGAAGAACAATCGCACCCCCCTGGCCCAAGCACCTTTCTTGGGGGCTTCCCTGGCTGCTTCCACAGGTGAACCACTGGACAGGAGTGCCTGTGACGCTCTTCACAAGTGTATCTGAAGCTATGCTGGTGGAGCGCCTTTTTGCCATAATGCCATGCACCAAGCAAGCTCTGGGGGTGCCATAATTAGTTACCATATTACAAGAGCTCTCGGCAGTTTAAGGAACAAACCATGATTATTCCACTTATACTTCCTGATTTACAGCTTTTACTACTCTGCTCTTCAGCTCCAAAATAATTATAGGGAAGCCTGCAATTACAGTACATGCTATTTGCTTTTTCTTTATAACACACACTTACCATTTCTGTTAATGCTACAACAATTTAATATTTTTATCCCAGGACGCTTACTGCCTTTCCAGATTAAAAATAGAGTAAGTTTTTCACTGCATCTGGATGAGTGTCAGGCTTGGACATTATTGAGGCATTTGAGTTCCCGATACGGTTTCCAGAAGCCCCCAGAAAATCCTCCCAACCTGTACTTGACTGATTTTTCACACATGGCCTTTGAACTGATCAGGCGCCAGAGATGATTGTACAGGAACAGAGAGTCATAAATTAGTTAGTTGCAGACCATATGGAATTTTGTCAACATCCACATCAACTGTTTAGTTTAGTGACCCAGAAAAGCAGGAAGCATTCCCATGAAAATGAATCACTGTCTACAGTAGATTCTAAAACCGCAGTTTCTGGAGAGAGTACAGGCAGCCATCTTCTGAAGAAGGGTTGAGAATTGGCCTCAGGAGTTCCTCCGTCATCATCATCATCCTTAATCTTTCTCATACTTACTTTTAATTTCTATGCTGCCCAACAGTCAAAGGTCTCTGGGTAGTTTACAGCAGCATTTCAAATACAAATAATATTCAATATGAAATAGAGTTAACAATAATTATAATAGCATGGTTTAATCTAACATGCAGCTAGCTGCATTTGCTACACTGTAAAAAAATATATTGAGTACTGTGAAATAGGTTTTGTGGAGTTGGGCTTGCTTATTTATTTATTATATTCACAGCTCATCTTTTTTTCAAAAAAGACTCCAGTGTGACTTCCATAATTCTCTCCTCTACTTTATTTGCACAACAATCCCATGAGGTGGTTAGGTAGAGAGTAAGTTTCTAGTTCAAAGTCACCTAGTGAGCTTCATAGGTGAATGGGAATTACACAAAGAACTGCTGAATCCCAGTTTAGCACTTTAACCACTGTGTCACACTGGCTCTCACATGGAACTAAATAAGGGATGAATCAGTCTGTTAAGTCTTCCTTTTCCTTGTTTTTCCATTATTAAGTGTGCTCAGTGTCATTTCTGCAGTGTGCAACTCTTAGAAAATGTCTGTATGAAAATTCATCCAGGTGTTTTGCCAATTGCTTGTTGGAAGTATGAGCTTAGAATTAACCCTGCATTCTTGCAATTTTACCACCTAATCCAAATCTTTTACTCCTCATCTGAACTAGAGAGACAACAAAGCAAGTTTTGGGGGAAAAAAACCATGCATGGGAACAGTTGTGCCAATCCCACAAATGACCACAGCTGAAACCAGAAATTTCTCTGCCTCTGAGAGAGTATGAAGGAAATCCCCTATGGAAAATATTTTCCATCCAAGACCTCACACACCAGCATGTGCTGACTGAAAACATGCTGAAGGGGAGCAGGGGAGCCAACTCAGTTCATAGGATGAAATTCAGTGAAGTACTTGCCAAGCAGCAATTCCCCACCCACCCTGAAACTCCCTCAATATGCTCCAAAGGGCTTGGGATACTTGAGAGCATTTTTAGGGGGCAGGAGCTGGAGTGGGGATGAAGAGGTGGCATTAGATGCCACCCTTTCCAATCCATTTCTAACCAAAGGAAATGCTGGTCTATGCCAGCACAGAATCTGCCAGTTTGTCCAATAGGTTTCTGTTTGCCTTCAGTGAAACTAGAAATACACACCACACTCTATTTGCCTTCTGGATTATGATTAAGAAATGTAATGTTTGATTTGTAGGATGGGCTCCTGCCTGCTTATTTTCATGTAGGTTGGAAATTTTTCACCTACAGAGTAATTAACATTGCTCTTGTGGTCCATTTACTAATACCTCTGCATTGAAATGATTTCTATTTCTGCTTTAGCAAATGTCTAGAAGTATGATCAAGTCCAGAAACTCCCACAGAGGCAGACAGAAATGTGCTAATGGTAGCTGGGAACTTCCACTGCCAAGGCTGCAGAAAACCAAACATAAATATATATGGAAAAGTTAAGTATCAAGTAAGCACCAAACATTTTTGCTCCGATTTGTTCAATGATAGTGGCCTTCCAAAACATCAAGTCTGTGCTAGTATGGGGCACACAAAATAAGACAACAGTGGTGATGGGGATGATGGAGGTGCAAAAGCACTATGAATAGTCTGATCCTCTGCCCATTTAGAGCATAATCCTGCTGGCTAGTGAATGTTGGAAATTGTAGAACTTTCTTCTGTCGAAGCCTACATGGAATTGCACACCTAACTTGACATGTTTAGAGGCTAAAATGTAAACAAATTCATAATAACAAAACTGTGTTGTCTCCTTGTTGTCATTTTAACAAAGCTACACCAAGGCCGTGGCAATACAATTCAAACAGACTCTAATGGTGCTCTGCACCAGGAAAGCCCAAAATAATGTGGGTTTCAGGGCAATACCAGGATACAAAATGTCTGGCACACAGTGAAAGTTGTGTGGTCAAGTAGCAGCAGATGACATCCCTCAGGGTAGAGGAGCAATGATAAGCAGGAGAATAGGAAACCTCTCGGTAAGCTTCCCCTGCAGTCACATTAGCACAATCCCTAGCAAAAGTATCATTGTAGGGGTGGGGATCCAAACCAACAAGAGCAGACAGTGTCAGCTGCACAAATAGCCTTTCCTAGACAAACAGCACAAGGTAGCCAATGTTTTCCATCTCACTGATTTCAATGGAAGACTTCATTTATTCTGTTTTTTGTCCTGCCATTCCTCAAGAAGTTCAGGGCACTGCACATCTTCCTCTCCCCCATTGTTTTATCCTGTGCTAGGCTAGACTGAGAGAGGGTGAGTGGTCCTGCCTTAGCATATGATTCCATAAATCACACTGACTGTCATTTGAGTGATACGTGTGTTTATACCTCTGCCAGAAGAATCTGTAAGACCTAGAGGTGCTTCGGTGTGTCTGAATTTTATTACATATATAGCTTGTTTTTCTCTCAGGAGAGAAACAACATGGGCATAATTTTAATAATTACATAAATATAATAGATTCAAATCATCTTGGCATCTCATGCCTTCACACTTCTTCCTTCTCCTGTATCAAAATAGTGCCCCTCTTTAGATTTCTTTCACACATTGCACCAGTAGATGAGGGCCATACCAACTCTGCCTCCCTGACGGTCTGTGTACCAAGGAGTCCTCCCTGTGACATGGATGCAACATGACACAGTATGCAATTAGACGTGGGGCCCAGGTCTGCTGAAATTGTACAGGTGAAGACCTGCTTCCTATTCACACACGAAGAGGCCAATTGCAATGTTGCCAAAGCGGGTGGTGATGGGAGAGCATATTCACCATAACAGCCGTGACACATCTGTCTCATTTAAGCATTTCATGATGAAGGGTCTAAGTGGTGATATCATTCAGATATGGGTTTATAACTAACAGGCAAATACTGGGAAAAGTCCAGTTCCCCTAACTCTTATGTCCCTGTTGGTATAATGTACCCCTCAAAACTCTTGCCCACAAATGTTTGGTTTGGTTTGGCTTGGCTTCTTTACCACCCATTAGCCAGAAAATCAGATGTGTGAATAAGCAAATCCAGCTGACCCAGACCCCACTTCTACTTGTAAGCATGGAGGCAGCACAAACACCACCCATTTTGTGAAGAGGTCTAAGGGTGACAGCACCTGCATTCCGTTTCATGTATTTTATTTATTTATTTATTTAAAACTGTTCTATCCCATCCTATACCTAAAAGTCTCAGGATGGTCCAACAGCAAAGGCACAGCATCACTTCTATAATAAAAACCCGATTAAAATAGAAATTAGGCCTTAAAATAATGGGAAAATAAAAAGGTTTTGGCTTGGTGCCGAGAAGAGTAAAGTATCAGTGCCAGGTACACTTCTCTGAGGAGCATGTTCCACAACCAGGGCGCCATGACAGAGAAGGCCCTTCTCTGGGTAGCCATTCTCCTAATTTCCTTCAAAGAGGACTCCTGAAGAGGCTCCTCCAACCCAGATCATAGGGGGCAGGCAGGCACGCAGGGAAGGAGATATCCAGGTCCTAAGCCATTTTGGGCTTTATAGGTTATCACCAGCACCTTAAATTGGGCCAGGACTTCAATTGGCAGCCAGTAAAGAACCGGCATTGTGTGTGCATCTCTGCTGGTCCCTGCAAGCAACCTGGCTGCTCTATTTTGGACCAACGGAAGTATCTGGACCATCTTCAAGGGCAGCCCCATGTAGAGCATGTCGCAATACTCCATTTGGGAGGTTACCAGACCATGGGTCACCATTGCTAGGCTCTACTCATTCAGGTAAGGGCGCAGCTGATGAACCAGCCAAAGCTGAAGGCAAGTGCTCACCACAGCAGCCACCTGAAGTTCCAGGGACAGCTCTGGGTTGAGGAGCACCCCCAAACTGCGCACCTGTCCTTTAGGGTGAGTGCAACCCTGTTCAGAACAGGGCAAAGACCACTTACCTAGAAAGTTGAACCACCTGCCAACAAGACCTCCATCTTGTCTAGATTAAGCCTCAATTTACTGGCCCTCATCCAGTCCATCACATTGGACAGACACTGGTTAAGACACTGATTAGATGCGAAAGAGAGGTAGAACTGAGTGTCATCAGCATACTGGTGACTCCACAGCCAAAACCTCTGGATGACCTCTCCCAGTAGTTTCATGTAGATGTTAAACAGCATGGGGGATAAAATGGAACCCTGTGGAATTTCATGGCAAAGCTGCCATGGCTCAGAGCCAAAATCCCACAGCACCACCTTCTGGAATCAGCCCACAAGGCAGGAGTGGAACCAGTGCAAAGCAAGGTCTCCAGCCCCCAACTCAGCCAGCCTATCCAGAAGGATACCATGGTTGATGGTACTGAAAGCTGCAGAGAGATTCAAGAGAACCAACAGGGATACACTCTCCCTCTCCCTCTCCTTGTCCCTGCACAAGCCATTATGTAGGGCAACCAAGGCAGTTTCATTCCCTAACCAGGCCTGAAACCAGACTGGAATAGGTCTAGGTGGTCAATTTCCTCCAAGAGAGCTTGGAGTTGTCCAGCCACCACCCACTTGAGCACCTTGCCCAATGGGATGTTGGCCACTGGTCTATAATTAGTGGCAAATTCTGGGTCCAGGTTAGGTCTCTTTAGGATGGCCCTGATTACCTCCTCCTTCAAGGGGTCAGGGAGCTGATCCTCCCTCAGGGAAGTGTTAACCACTTCCCGGACCCAGGTCCACATCCTGACCTTGGCTTTGTAGTTTCAATTCTCCCCGCAGTCATGAGCTCTGATCAAGCAAATTGGCAAGTATACTACAACAGTTATGCTCTCCCTTCAGAACTTCCCACTTAATGCAGGAAAGTCTCTGTGAAATTATGCACACCTATCAGGGCTCCTGTCAGATCTAATCTGGCTCTGAAGTTTTCTGTCTCAAGCATACAAAAATACCCAGATATCATCATTGTCCTAGGAACCTCTCCAAGCAGTTAATATTCCTTTCTTTTCACAATTCAGAGTTTCAAATAGACATTGGTCTTGCACTGATAAAAGCACATTACATGTTGCATTACATTACATTTTAACCTGCCTTTCTTCCTCTGGCAAGAAGGCAAGGCAGTTCATGAGGCTGTCCTCTTCTCTGTTTTATTCTCACAACAACCCTGCGAGGTAACTTAGACTGTCCGATTCTCCTGAGCCACAGCCCAGCACTGTGCCATGAGGTCCATAAACAGAACTTATGGAACTATTTCCTCCCAACCATCTGATTCAACTCTTCGCACTTTGTGGTTTCAGCAATCACATGGAAAAGACTTTGATATATCTGGTGATTTCTCAGAGTGTTTTCAGAACCATTCATTAGAAAGAAACAAAGCTGATCCCTGTCACATTAAATCAAACTAATCAGAAGATATGTTCAGGTCTGGATTTCAAAACTTGCTGAATTATACAAAATGTTCTCTGCACCTTCACTGGGCATGTTTTTGGAGCTATCTGAAAATATTTATTCCCTTTTCTTGTCAGGATCCACCTTCAACAGAAGCGAAGAAGAGACAGGTCTGTTCAGACAGATTCCTTTTCACAGAAGAAGACACACTCTAATATGAATTGGACTACACATGGATGAACTTGGTTACTGCAGTTTTCCCAGCTGCCATTATCACAGGACTATTATTTCTTTATTTTATTTATTAAAAGCTCTTCTATCCTGTCCCCTACAGAACATCTTGGGACGGCTTACAAAAAATAAGTAGAATAAAACAAACCCCACAGCATCCAACCATTAATATACTAAAACCCTAGTTAAAATCAATTAAATATTAAAATAGCAGGGAAATAAAAAAGGTTTTGCCTGGCGCTGAAAAGAATATAATGTCAGTGCCAGACAAACCTCTCTGGGGAGCATATTCCATAGCTGAGGGGGCCACCACAGAGAAGGCCCTCCTCTAGAAACTCTCCCTCCTAATCTCCTTCAAAGAGGAGCAAGACCTCTCTGCCTCAGATCTCAAGGGGTGGGAGGGCACATAGGGAAGAAGGCACTCCTTCAGGTATCCCAGACCCAAGCTGTTTAGGGCTTTATAGGTCAGAATCAGTGCCTTAAATTGGGCCCAGACTTCAATTGGTAGCCAGAGTAGCTGGTACCGGCGTTATATGTGAAAACTGGCCGGTCCCCGTTAACATCCTGGCAGCTCTATTCTGAACCAATTGAAGTATCCAGAGACCATATTCAAGGGCAGCCCCATGCAGAACGCATTACAGTAATCCAACCAGAGTGTGGGTCAGTGTTGCAAGGCAATGCTCCAAGTAAGGACACAGTTGATGGATCAGCCGAAACTGAAGGAAAGCACTCCTCCCCACCGCTGCCACCTGGGACTCCAGGGACAGCTCTGGGTCAAGGGCACTCCCAGACTGCAAGCCTTGTCCTTTACGGGGAGTGCAAGGTCCAGATAAAATCATTTAAGAGTGCTTAAGTATCCCAGCTGTGTTCTGATCTTCTGTCAAAAATATGTAACATGTGCCTAATTTTGGCTTATATACAGTGGAACCTTGGCTCACAAACTTAATCCGTTCCAGGACTCTGGTTGTGACCCAAATTGGTCATGAGCCAAGTCAAATTTCCCAATAAGGTTCAATGCAAATAAGGTTAATCCGTTCTGTAACTACTTTTTTTTTTATCACAAAAAGTTGAAGCAAAGTGACAAAGAACAACAAAGATCGTGGCCATCTCCCCCCCCCCCCCCCCGCCCCCGCGCCCAGCCATCCCCCCCCCCCCCCAGCACAACTGCAATTGCACCAGTCATCCCTGCACGAGAATGCCCATGATGCCAAATTCGCAACCTAAGCCAAAATTTTTCAGAAATTTCTGTTTGCAACCTGATTTGGTCATGAACTGAGGCGTTCGTGAGCTGAGGTACCACTGTACTAGCGCACTGGAAATGTAACTTACTACCCAGCCAATGTAATTTACTACCTAGTTCTGCTACTTGTTGAGATACTTGAAGCAGAAATGTGAAGGACTGAAATTAGGGACCTCTTCATTCAGACCCAGGCCCTTAATTCTTGCAGAAGTCTCTTGGGAGTTGTAAACTCCAAGGTGAAACTTGAAAGGTCTGTGGAAATGAAGAATTAGGTGGCTATCATAGCAATATGGCCTAGACTTGTTTGGGGCAGGGCCACATCAAAAAGCATAACATTTATTTTCAGCATGTTTCTGCTACACTACATAGCATGGTGATATAACTGTGTGGCAGATGTTCAGGTCTGATAATGATGGAGCAAGGTCCCTAACATTCAAGGAAGAGACATATGAATTTATAGTGTGCAAGGAAAAACTGCCCTAAGGAGGTTGGAGAACCTCTGCTTCTCTGCCAATTACTGATGAAGATACTGTATATCTGATTTGTTTAAGGACTGGGTGAACACATAGAAGAACTTCAGTTCTCAAATACTAAGGAAAATTATTGTGGTGGGTTTCTTTCTTTCTCTTTCTTTCTGTCACTCTGCACATTTGAATATTACATGGATGGGAATATTGTTTCAGTCCAAACTCACCTTTACTGACTTTCATAGATTTGCTGGCAACCATTGAAGGTGGATCTTCTCACCTTTCAGTTCCCCCTTCCCGGCCTACATGCCAGGTGAGCTGGGGATGGATGGCCAAGTCTGAGCCTCACTCTGGTGTAGACCACTAATGTGAATCTGGGCTAGTCCTGGTGCCACATTCCTGAGATTCCTTACAGGAAACACTACTGTTGGGGAGTGGGGAGCCCAGCCCTGCTCCCCTCACCAATCAATCCAGACCAAACCGCTCGCACCTACAACCACAGAAAGTTTATAGAGGATGCAAATCAACTTATTTCCAATGGAATTAAACTTGCAGTGGGGAAAGCAAAAACCTTTATACCATCTGATATGCAGGTGAAATGCACTCCTAGTCCCATTAACTGGTATCTACTTCTAGCACTGCGAGACATTTTTCACCTGGAGTGGGTGGGTGGGGTCATCAGTGACTGCAATGCTGCAGCCATGTGGGACCTGCTTTTGTGGGCTTCAGACTGAACTGGGGTGAGAACAAAGGAGGGGGACTTTCCTCTGGTGGGTGCGCACCTTTGGTTCCCTGTCATGCCCACCAGAGTGCCAGCTGGTGCAGCAGAAGGTAGTGACTTTCGGGTGTAGCAGTCATTCCTCACCAGCCTTTCCCCCTTTGTTGCCATCCTGCATGCCTACACAACTCACAGCTCCCTGGCAGGCAGGGAAACAACCTCTCAGCCTAACCTACTCTCAAGAAGTTGTGCGGATAAAATGGAGAGAAGAATTGTGTAAGGTACTCTGGGTTCCTTACAAAAGGAATAAATATAAATGGGATATAAATGTGTAAATGGAGAACAACTTGAAAACTAGAAATAGTAAAGACTTCTCTGTTCTTGGTAAAGCCTTCGCTGTTCTAATTTGCAGTTCCATGTTCTACTTAGGCACTTACTCTAAACGTGCTTCCTCTTTCTTGCGGAGATCAAAGTCCCGTTGAACCACTTCCCAAACATGTTTGGCCTCTTCATCTGTAAGTTTGGAAAGATCCAGTTTACGTCCCATCTTCAGAAAGCAAAGCACCTGGAAATTAGAGATGAAGGTCAGGTAAACTTTATCAAACAAGTGATTTTCAGGTAGTTATACTTAGCCAATGTTTGTTTTTCCCTCCCCGGTATGTTGGGATTTTTCCATGAATCCCATGAACAGTCAAGAAGTCTGTCCTGATGTCCTGCTGGAATCTGGCTTCTTGCAGCCTGAGCCCATTATTCTGTGCCCTGTACTCTGGGGTGATTGAGAAGAGATCCTGGTCTTCCTCAGTGGGACAGCCTTTCAAGCATTTCAAAAGTGCTACTACATCACCCCTCAGTCTATATTCAACATGCAAACAAAACTCATAACATAACTCATAGAAATGTTATAATAATAATAACAATAACAACAACAACAACAACAGTGGCCAAATAAATGAAATAACAATGAAAAGTGATAGGTGTAGCTATGTATAAAGAAGGTATCTTTCCAGGGAGCTTTTGGCCCCGGTGCAAGCTGCTGTCGCTTCTAGAGGAGGAGGTGAGGCGTCTGAGGGCTGAGAGAGCTCTCCAGCCCCCCCCCCCCCCCGGGGCGCCCCCCCCCCCCCCGGGGGGGGGGGGGGGGGGGGGGGGGGGAAAGAGCCGGCGGCCCCCCCCCCCCCCCGGGAGCAGCCCCACTCCAGACAGAAGGTTGAGTGAGGGGCTGAGGGAGAAACAGCTGGGGAGACATGGAGACATGTCCCCCACAGGAGGAGCCAGCCAGCACAGAGCTGGGAAACAGATTTTCTCTGCTTGGGGAAGCTGGGGCTGATGAGGACCTGTTCAGGATCCCCAGACAGGGGCCAGATGTAACCAGGGGGCCACTGCAGGAGAGGCAAGGGCCGAGGCATGGCCAGCTATCTGCACTGGGGAAAGACAGTGGCAGGTGACTGTTGTTGGGGACTCCCTGCTACGGGACACTGAGGCGGTGGTGTGCCGCCCTGACCTTGAGGCGATGGAGGTCTGTTGCTTGCCAGGCGTACACACCTGGCATGTGACAGACAGAGTAGAGTATTTTAGTTTTTAATAATTGTTGTTTTTTATGTTGTAACTGTTTCATAAGCTTTCCAGAGAAGTACTGTTATGGGGCAGTTATATAAGTATAGTTCATAAATAAATAAAATGAATGAATGAATGGGTGCCTGCCCTTTTGCCATCAGATAATATGCTAGACAAATTCAAACATGGATAGACTTCTTTCAAGACGTAAAGATGGGTTCAAATGTTGTTCTGCAGGAAATAGAGTGTAAACTGAACTTCACAAGGATGCCAGTGAAGAAGCAGAGAGGTTAGCCAAGGAGGTCTGCTGATGGCGGATGACCAAGCCAACTTTGTTTCACCTGGTCCTGACAGAGCTGCTGCTTGTTAACTGCCATCTTCTCCAAACACAAGTGAAAAATGGGGTCACTTTCTGATCATATATATTCAAGTCTTGAATTTATATGAAAAACAAGCATTTTTGGAAATCCTGTGAAAATTATGGAAAACTAGAATTTATTTTGTAAATTAAAAACTGCATTCAGATAACAAGTAAGCAAAAAGATAGGATCCTTTAAATTGGAAGGATGGTGGCAGTCTTTGTATTATGGGATAAACAGAATATCCAGTTCAATCTGTAATTCCCCAACAATATTACCATATGCAAGGTAATCACATTTTTGTAGTGCATAACCAAATGAAATGCTTCCTTCACAAATATATAGAAACAAATGAGGATTGCATGTTTGTTTTCAGGAAGGAAGGAACAAAATATAGCTGGAAGCCATTTTCTCATAATGAAACAGAGAAAATGTTGCATGGTTACTTAGTTTTCCCTTTCTTAATTTTTGTGGAATTATGACTTCAGTTCAATGAGTCTTGCATGGCAGTAAGTGAGACAACCAAACACAACAAGAGGTATAGCATCCAAGTTAGCTAGATTCTGTGCAATTTTATTACAAGTGTCTTACATGATTGTTACTACAGCCAGGTGATTTCATATACAGGTGGGATAAGAAGCCACGATTTAACAGCTCTAGTATCCTTAGAACAGTGATGGCGAACCTATGGCACATGTGCCACAGCGGGCATGCAGAGCCCTCTCTGTTGGCATGCGAGCCGAGTCACCCCAGCATCGCCCCAGCAGCCATGCACATATGTGGAAAGAGTAACGGTGCCAGGCAACAACGTCACTCATTAGCCACGACTCACTGCAAGAGGCGCTGTGAGTCGCGGCGTCGAACAGGTGGCCAGAGGCAGGCACAACAGCCACAGCGGCTGTGCCAGGAAGGGAATAGGCGAGCAGCAAGCGGGCGTGCCGAGCGCCCTCCTCCTGCCTTCCCCTCCTCCTGGCCTGCAGCATGTGAGCAGCCACCCCAGCCACCCTCCGAGTGCAGTGTCGGGACCCTGCCGACTTGGTAACCGCAGGCGCCGGTGGCCACAGGGTGGGGGGAAGCTGGGCAAAGGGAGCGAGTGCCCGGGTCGAGGTGGTGGAGCAGCAGCAGCTGGAGCAAGAAGTAGGAGAGAGGGGGCGCCTGGGATTGATATGGCGCTTCCTGGGGAGGGAGGCCAAAACGAGGAAAAGTGGAGGCTGGAACTGCTGCGAAACGAGAGGAGTGGGCGCGTGGCGGGGACCCACCTCCCCACCTGACCCCACTCGCCAAGGCTTGGCACTCGAGGAAGATCCCAATGGAAGCGTGGAAGGGATCGGCAGCAGCCTCTCCTCACCTTTAGTTTAGGTCTCTCTGTCTGCCATTCCGCCCCGCCGGTAAACTTTCAAGCGCCACCGAAGCTCCTTTGGCTTTCCCGGTGGCTGGGTTGGGGGGTGAGCAGGGAGGGAAGGAGGGAGTGTGCAAGCCCGGGCACAAGCAAGCCCAGCGTCCCCTGACTTGGGGGCGCTGAATGTGAACATGGCTCCTTCTCTCTGTATTGTGTTTTTAAGACAAAAGATCCTAATGTATGAGTTGTTTTTTTTCTAAACTAAAACCTCCGTATTCAGGGTTTATTGCAGTGTTGGCACTGTGTGATAACTAAGTGGGTTCTGGGTTGCAGTGTGGGCACTCGGTCTCTAAAAGGTTCGCCATCACTGCCTTAGAACAATGTAACTCCTGAAGATGCTCTGGTGGTAGAAAACAAAGTCCTGCATGAATGTATCAGTGCCTTGACCTACTCCTGTTAATGTACACTAAACTGCTTTTGGCCAGATTTGGCGTTTACCTTCAGCTTTTGCACTTGCTCTCATTTCTTCCATTATGTCAGCTGGAGGAATGCTACCACAGTGGAGGACTTCTTGCAGAAAGTGCCTCTCAGGATTCATGTTGATGATAAAGGTGTCTGACCAACAACTCCAAAAGGCCACTGATGAAGCAGACACTAGTAAGAATGGCAGGAAAGTTCGCTCTTGGAATCTGTGAGAGATCTGATATGGGCGAGCGCCTGATGGATTTGCATTATTTGGTCCCCTGTCTTCCTGTCTGCCAGCCCTACACTGGTGTCAACTTGCTATGGTGTGAGTTGAGCCAGCTTGCAGACTTCCATCTCTAAGACAAGCCAAATCTGTACATTCAAAATATCTGCTAAAGAAAGTTGCATTAAATCAGCTGATATGCACAAACTGGATCCCAAAAGGTATATGACCTTCATGCAGTTCCCACAAACCATGCCTTTCAAGTGATAATGTTTGCATAAATTGCACATATTGTGCATATACCATTAGCGTTTTTTAAAAATGCACAGTAAGTTACAAGAAAATCAGATTGTCTTTCAAATTCATCAGGCACCCAACTGATAGACCTTTGGACAAAGCTAAAAAGTTCAATATAATGTTTTTGGAACAATCATTTGATTTTTACCAATAAAAAGCTGATCTTATCAATATTGAAAAATAAAAATGGGATGGTGGGGATGTTTCTACCACCACCACCAGCAGTGCTACCACCTAAGGTCAATGCTACACTTTGCCCCAAAGGCAAACATTCATGCTGATGGGAGAGGGGGAACCTTTAGCCTCTGTGTGTGTGCGGGGGGGGGGGGGATTACTTCCTCTAATTTGGCTATTCAGTTCCTTACCTGCTTAGAATGACTAGAGTAAGATTGGTCATGTGTGCCCATTCCCTTTGTCCCTACTTCTGCCCACATTTGGGGGAAACAGTCTGAATACCATAATAATAATGTGATGTTCAGCTTTGAATAATTTTGGAAATGTACAGAATTTTTAAATAACAGGTTGGCATGATAGGATAATTCAGAAAACTGTTGCAAGCAGCAGTTTCAATGCGTTGATTTAATACACACAACTCATTTATTACTATGGAAACTTTACCTAAGTATTTTGCTCTTTCAATGCATAAGTGCAAAGCATACATAAGCCATAAGATGCAGGAGGAGGATTCACTATGGCAGCCAGTGGGGAATATGCCATCTCCAAACTCTTTTCGCACTAAAGCAGAGGTCACCTTGGATTTGAGTATCAAAATGAAACACTTGTCTGATATCCTGTTGCCCTGGCCGAGGACAGAAGGGTTTTTTTATGATTTCCACAGAGTGGTACAGCGACTCCAGATTTTAAAAAAAAGGAGATTATTTATTATGGTAATTTTATCTCAACATGCTAGCTAGACTTCCAAAAATTTTAGTAGCAAGCCTCTTAAACAGCAGCGAGGGTGCCTGCAAGGAAGCATCCCAATCAGGTATGTTCAGAAAAACAGCAGAATCCCCCTTGAAAAGACTGAACCAGAAAATAATGAAAGTGGCTAGCATTTATAGATTACAAACTTACGGCATGATAACACATATGGACAGCATTCTACATGATTAACATTTATGGTTGCAAGAGTAATATTGTTTACACAAGTGCTAAGAGATAATGAAGTACAGTGGTACCTTGGCTCACAAACTTAATCCGTTCCAGGACTCTGGTCATGACCCAAATTGGTTATGAGCCAAGTTAAATTTCCCCATAAAGTTCAATGTAAATAAGGATAATCTGTTCTGTAACTATTTTTTTTTAATCAGAAAAATACGAAGCTAAGCGAC